CAGGGGGATAGCTTGAGGCTCCGTCTCAAAAAAAAAAAAACCTAAACAGAATACACGAAGTATTGTGTATTCTGAGTGGAGAAGAAAACCAGTACCATCAAACTGATGGTGGGTACATCATATTTTCCCCTCTCATATCTACCAGTCTGGTTTCAATGCACTGACATCCTGAAAGTGCTCATTGTGCAGAGCACCACAGGAGAGCTCTCTAGTTTCACCTCTAGCTCAAGAGGTGAAAAAGGAAGGGCAGGTGCGGTGGTTCACACCTGTAACACTAGCACTCTGGGAGGCTGAGGCAAGTGGATTACTTGAGCTCACGAGTTTGAGACTAGCCTGAGCCAGAGCAAGACCTCATCTCTTAAAAAAAAAAAAAAATAGCCAGGTGTTGTGGCAGGTACCTGTAGTCCCAGCTACTTGGAAGGCTAGGGAAAAAGGATCACTTGAACCCAAAAGTTTGAAGTTGCTATGAGCTGTGACACCACGGCACTCTACCCAGGGCAACAAAGTGAGACTCTGTCAGAGGAGGAGGAGAAGAGGAAGAAGGGGAAGATGGAGAGAAAAAGGTCTCTAAGACTTCAACACTTCAATTTCTTCCAATCTATTTCACAGATCATCTTGGGAGAGTGGTAACAGCAATAGCAAGATAGGCCTAAAACTCAGAAGCCTAAAACTACGATGAAGGACAACCTTCCTTTCTGACTGAAACACTTGTGACTCCAAGAATTTGGGGCAAACCCCATTGCTTTATCTGTCTTTCTGTTCTCCCACCACTTGACCTCAGATGCAGGAGCAATCATAAGAAGTAAACTGCAGAATGGGGTAAATAAAGCCTGAGCTTTTTGGCCAAAGGACCAAAACGAGGAGCTCCAAGGAACTAAAAAGTGCTTGGGAGGTGGAAGAAGGAGCTTGGAAAATGAGCTCAAAGAATTCTTTATGAACTGCTAGACTCAAATCCTTGAGTATGTGTGAATCTAACATGAAACAGTATACCACAGACTTTGAAAACTGAACAAGTAGATAGAGCACTACTCTAATCTCATACTGGCCAGTGGGGGTTCAGATATCAAAGGTACTCAAAGTGTTTGGAAATGGAACTGATGTTAAAATCATAACCCATAGAATACTAGTGAGAATTGACAGCCTAAATCTAGTGAGGTTGACTCCTGCCAAAATAAAAATATCAACATTCTTCATGGGACTTTAAACAAGACCCAAAATGAGGTTGACTCCTGCCAAAATAAAAATATCAACATTCTTCATGGGACTTTAAATAAGACCCAAACCTTTATTAAATGATATTTAAAATGTGCAAGATTCAATCCAAAATTACTCTACACATGAAAAACTAGGAATATCTCAACTTGCATGGGAAAAAATAATCAGATGACAGATAGTATAATTTTCCAACAATGATTTAAGGTAGCTATTGTAAAAATGCTCCCAACAGTAACTATGAATACCCTTGAAATGACTGGCAAGATAGAAAGTCTTAACAAAAAAATACAAAATAAAAAAAATCAGATGGAAATTTTAACTTGAAAAAATACAGTAACAAAATCTGAACCAAGGAAAGATCAAAGAAAGATTCAATGAACTTGAAGACAGATCAATAGAGATTATCAAATCTAAATAAAATAGAAAAAATGTTAGAGAAAAAAATGAACAGAGCTTCTGGAACCTATGGCATAATATGAAAAGATCTAACATTCAGGTCATCATAGAAGAGACTATAGCATACAAAGTATTCGAAGAAATAATTCCTGAGCACTTCTCAAATTTGGCACTAGGTATAAATTTATAAATTCAAGAAGTTCAGTTAACCTAAGCAAAGCAAACTCAAAGAGGTCTGTCCAAACATGTCATAATTAAATTGTTAAAAACTAAAGACCAAAAAAAAAAATATTGAAAGCAACCAAGGAAAACTGATGTATTACTTGCAGGGGAACAATGACTTGAATGACTGCTGAATTCCCATAAGAAGCACTGAAGCCAGAGTAAGCAGAATATTTTTTAAGTTCTAATGAACTGCCAACCAAGAATTCTATAGCCAGTGAAAATGTGCTTTAGGAGTAAAGGTGAAACAAAATATATAATTTTTTGCTTTCAGAATTATTCTAAAAGTGCTTACAAGAAAACACTAAAGGAAGTTCTTCCAAAAGAAACTTGAAACATTGGGAAGATGGAAGAACAATTAAAATTATGTATCTGCATAAATACAGTAGGCTATTCTCCTCTTGGGTTGTTTAAAAAATAATTAATGGTTGAAAAAATATAACATTATCTTACAAGAATACATATGTGTGAGTATGAGAGAGAAAAAGACACTTAACTCAAAGAAAGAAATATAGACAAAAAGAAAAAGGATCAAACATAAAATAAATAAGATTATAGACCTAAATACAAATGTACCAATAATTACATTACATGCAAGTGGTTAAAATAAACAGTCAACACAAAGATTGGCAGTATGGATTTAAAAATATGACCCAACTATATGATGTCTACAAGAAATATAGTTAAAATACAGCTATGCATTCTAATTTATGCCTGTAATCCTACTCTGGGAGGCAGAGGCATGAGGGTCCCTTGAGCTCAGAAATTCAAGACCAGCCTGAGCAAGAATGAGACCCCATCTCTACTAAAAATGAAAAAAATGGCCAGGTGTTGAAGTAGGCATCTATAGTCCCAGCTACTCTGGAGGCTGAGGCAGGAAGATAGCATGAACCCAGGCGTTTGAGGTTACTGTGAGCTAGACTGAGGCCATGGCACTCTAGCCTGGTCAACAGAGTGAGACACAGTCTCAAAAAATAAAAAAAAATACAGTTAAAACATAATGATATAGGTATGTTAAAAGTAAAACGAAGAAAAAATGATACACCTTGCAAACACAGATCAAAAGAAAATAGTGTCTATATTATTGTCAGTCAAAATAGACTTTAGAACAAATTACCAAGAACAGAGGGACACTACATAATGAAAACATCAATTCAACAATAAGACATCAAGAATAATAAATATACATTCACTAAACAATAGAGCTGTAAACTGCATGAAGCAAAACTGACAGACTGAAAATAGATGGCAAATCCACAATAATATTTCAAGATCTAAACACTCTTCTCAGTAATCAATTGATCTAGTATGCAAAAATATAAAGAACTAAATAACAGTATTAACATTTTAAGAACATTCCATCCAATAACAAAATATTCTTTTTTCCAAATGCACATGAGACATTCACCAAGACAGATCACATCTTGTATTATAGAATAAACCTTAGAAAATTTAAAATACTTAAAGTCATACAAAATATGTTCTCTGACCATAGTATAATTAGGAAAATTAATACTATAAAGATAATAGGAAAATGTCCAAATAGCAGCGAATTAAACAGCACAACACAACCATAAATAATACATGAGTTAAAGGAAATCTCAAGAGAAATTATAAAATATTTGAACTAAAAAAAAGAAGATAACTATCCAAATTTGTGGGATCCAATTAAAGTCATCCTTATATAAATATTTATAAGATTAAATTATTATATTAGAAAA